GCAAAAGAATTATCAGACCACTTCAACTTTTTCAGGTTATAACAATCAACGATTCCTCGACATGTGGCCAATCAGAGCTTACCATCTGCAGTTGCTGTAGTGAGTTGTGTACGTATGTGTATGTAAGTTTATGTACCGCAAGGCTTTTCCTAAATGTGGGAGCAAGGTGGAGATCGCGGCTTGTTCATGAGTGTGAAGTCACGAGCAGTTCAAACGGACACCAGGCACGATGAGCAGGCGTGTGTTTTTAGCACAACCAGCCACACTAGTGTCAACACCGTGACATGTTAGATTAGGAGAGGCTCGCCATGAACGAAAGGGACTGTGGACTGTGGCTTTAAAACGCTATCCATGCACACCTGTGACAGCGTGAAATGTCGGGCCCTTCACACGCACACAGCCTCAGTCAGCACGAGAGCACTTGTATCTTCATTTACATTCATTTTTAGGTAAGGCAAGCCGAGCGAAGCGGCGTACTTGTCTCTGTGAAGCGAAGGGTCTAAATAGTGTTTTGGTTGAAAACCACACAAGAGCTCGTCAGTGGCGACGGTGACAAGCGGGGACGCAAAGTGTGAACGAGGAGAGAGTGTGGAGCAGGGGACATGGATTCTGAGCGGGGCAGGCGGTGGCTGATGCAGGGGGGGTGGAGGGGGGTGGTGGTGATGATGAGAACGGACACGAGCCACATGAGGCCCCCTGACAACGCAGGAGTCCCCCTGCGGTATGTCCAGCAGTCTACTTATGCACACACACACACACACACACACACACACAGATGCATAAACGCACACAAGCACGCAGTTTTAACACCACCACACTGACTTTGTAAAATAGAAATATTAAATAACAAGAGTAAAACAAACTAAAACATTTTTTTTAAAACCGAAACATTTTGCTCAAATTAATTTCGTCCTTTAATTTGAATGGCACTGCATTATTTTCTGTTTCTGATTCGTAGTGATTGCACCCCCTCTAGTGGCTTTATGCAATAATAGCAGTCAACATTTATAGCAGCCTGCATTGCAACTGAACTCACAAATATACTGCATGTCTATGTGTAAAAAAATCCCCATTACTTAACAGTGATTGTCCATCAGAACACTGCTTTTGTTCAGCTGCTGACTGGGTCGACAGCAGCACGGCTAAGTTGGTCCGATAAAGCAGACTAGAAGTTAGACCGCGTGGGGGGAAGGTTTCACACACAATTCATTTTGGCAGCGAAAAACATCCTAAATTTGGTTAGGCATCGTTTGTGGAACCACGCTGGCTGTTCCGCACGCGTCGAGGACACCAGAAGTCATTCCCAGTTTGCCTCACCAACACACCGCTGGTCTCCCCCCCCCCCCACCACAAGGGGTGCCTTTAAAACGATATGCCTTCTGGGGTGTTCTTTTATGGGGCTGCAGTCGCAACCATTGACTATTGTATAATTCTCTTTAAATCAGTTTGCCCCCCCCCCCCCCCTTTTTTTTGAGCCCACCCCTGACTTAACAACCAGAAAAAGGTCACATTTCTGAGAAGTGACTTCCATGCATGTTCCATGCTGGGTCGTCACTTTCAATTTCCTAAGACCTTTCATGTCACACACCCATCAACCCAGAGAACTGCTACACACCGTGTGCACCATTTCCACAGTGCTGGTGTGATCTATGAAGTAGAATACTGTAAATCAAAAAGTGACCTATTCTAAGCAGTCACTTTGACTAGATTACATTTAGGTGCAAAGTTGATCCAAAAAGAGAGGCACCGTTGCGATTTCAAGCTTTCGGATTAACTTTAAAACTGTCAACAGGAGCAGGTTTGCACATGTTTGAGATGAATAGAGAGGTAAAAGTCATTGATGCAGCTCTTAATTACATTGCTTGTTTTGACTCGTGAAAACTCAAAGGGCATGCATGAGCAGAAGTGATCATCTCCTTCTTTCCATGTCCTCCCGCTGTATTTAACACTGAGAACCCCCCCCTCCCCAGGACACCTAGCGAGCGCTCAACAAACGACGTGTCTTTCCCTTTTTCCAGCACACGAGATGTTTAACTCTGCGCACACAATTAATGGAGCATGAAATGCATGCCTGAAGTGCAGCAGGCTCCTAACCTGCAGGTGACATGAAGCTCTTATTGTGACCTAACTGAGCTGTATTATAACCGCATTTGACTGGTGACAATTAGTGACCTTTTGCCTTTCCAGCAGCCATCCATTTCAATTACACCAACCTGGAGAGCTCTGGTGGGCGAGCGAGATGAGATACTGTAGCCAGTGTACTACTACTACTACTGTACTGATATTGTTAGCTTGGCCACTGTACTGTACCATTAGTCTTACAATAATTTGATATGATTTAGCACACCGTTGGACCTCATGTCGTATCACATTTGTATTTTGATTGAGGGTTTAAGTGACAATAATGGTTATTATTTTTGGCTCTTATGTTCTTTGAAAGGTCGTGGCAATGTGAACTCTTACAAGGGCTCTTTCTTTTTTTTCTCCTTTATTAGACAGATAACAGTATAGAGACAAACTGAAAACAGGGACAGAGAGAGAGGGGTATGACATGCAACAAATGTCCAAAGGCCAGTATCAAATCCCCGGACCGTGAGTTAATATGGTATGCACTTTCAGCATTTGGCTACCAAGATGCTCCACAAATGATCTTTTATAAAATGCTAGCTTTCAATGTCTATCATAGAAAATGATAATCATCTCAGGCTATCACTGAGATAAATTTGATGAAGAATGATGAGTGAGAATCTGCAAACTGAGAAGGTTTTGTTTGCTGAAGTGATGCTGCTGCAGCTTACTTTGCCACATCTTTATAAACGCCATAACTATTCTCAGAATTTAACCAGTTTTTTTTTTCAGTTGGGATTGTTCACGTTTTAAATTATTTCAGCAGGTTGGTGGTTGAGCTGTATGTAGAGGTGAAATTCTTCAAACTGTTAGTGATTCATTCACACATCACATGTTTTTTTTGGTTGTGTAATTGTTGTACAAGCACCAGCAACACTTCCGTTTCCTTCTATATTTTACAACAGCTCCACTTCAGGCCTGCATGCCTTCACCTCAGCTACGTTGAGTTCAAACTTGAGAAACCTCAGAGGCAGGAAGGTATTATAAAACCTCACGCTTAATCACTTCATCTAACCTTTCTCAAAAATACGCTGCACCCGGTGCAAGCGGTAGTGCAAATATGTGCACTCTTTCATTGAACTCCAGCTAGACCAAAGCGACCAAACTGAAATGGATACTTCATGCATGCAGAGAAGCGACATTAACGCAAACAGTACTCGCTTACTTTATCTCTCTCTCTCTCTCTCTCTCTCTCTCTCTCTCTAACACACACTGAAAGCACTGTGTAGCACTCTTGTTTTAACCACATTGTGGGAATGTGAGGTTTGTGCCCTTAGTCCCATAGTGGGGACTCACATTCTATTTGGGACAAAAAGTGGGTACCCAAAATGTTAACCATCAATATTTACAGGTGATACTTTCCTTTAGACTTACAGTTAGTGTTGTACACCTAAGTCTCACAAAATGTAACCTATGTCAGCCTACTTAATGGTGCAAGATTGGGAGCATTTCAAATGCTTCTCAGTGGCTCGCAACTCATTGGTGCTAACAGTGCAAACAACGGAAGGCAGCGCTAACAGCGTTTACCTGAGAACCACAGGGTCGGCACCACGTCTTCGCGACGACCCTGTCTGTCGGGACGACGTTATAAGCTGTAAACACCGTACCAGCGCAGTGCAGAGCGGCGGTGATGAGCTAGCCAGAGGGGCACGCTCACATGCACGAACATGCACTTAAAGTACACACGGCCAGCCCGGCTATGTCAACAAAGCAAGGAGAAAGTCTGATAACAGCACACACACAGAGAGAGACTTCATTCTCTTCTCAGGTAAACATTACTCCACTATATCTTTACAGATAATAGTTGTTTGCTGCTATATAATTTAATGCGCTAAATGTCCCTTTTCTGCTTCTTTAACTAACGTAACTACTTATTTAGCGTTACAAATGTAGGCTACTTATTTTAAATCAAACCACAATATTTTCCAAAGTGTACACAAGGAGTTTTATTGCCTAAACCTAAACAAGTACACCTAAAATCTAAGTAAACCTACGTTGGAAGTTTATTTTGGAAAGACGCTGTAATGAGCGAAAGCTGACACATACAACGCTGATGCTAGAATGGAACTGAGAGTGTCATAGTTTGAGACGTAGGGCCACTGGGAGTGAGAACGTGTTGGCCAAGACGGAACAGTACGATACGGTAGAAATGTCTATGTCATACATGTATACCTTTATACATGCAGATGCACCAATCATTATTTGTGTAGGAGCTTCGAAAGAGTTTTGTGCAACTCATCAAATGTCCTTAACAGGTGACTGAGATATACATTTTATAATTAACATTCATATCAATATTATTGTGTACTTTTGTATATTGATGCTTTGGCAACATTTCTGAAAATGTCATGTCAATAAAGCACATTGAATTGAGAGAGAGAGAGAGAGAGAGAGAGAGAGAGAGAGAGAGAGAGAGAGGTCAAATTAACATTTTAGTGAAAATCACAAAATGTTCTATCTTCATTTAGTTATCATGCTATTAAAATTGAGGGGACTATAGATCACATTTATTTCAAAATTGTCAATGTAAAGCTATAAAACAGTCTGCCACGCACAGTGCATAGAGATCTTCAAACTACTGGGGTTTCAGTAAGACAGACATATGATGTCAAAAAGGAGAGGTGGGATTTGAACACTGCTTCCAACCTTTTCAGAGGCATTTCAAGTAACACAGCTCAATTTCCAACCACAACCAGCAGACTCAGGAGTGTAAACAGTAAATCAGCTGGGGAACCGTATCTCTTGTTGTAAGTACTATACATATGTATTATCTTTATCTACTGTATAGCTCAGTTTTCCTTTGTTTATTGTTCCTTTGCTTATGCACTCTTGTCTTCTGCTTTTTGATTTATGATTTTCACACTTTTCTCAAAATGACAGGTGAGATGGCGTTTGAAAATATCACCCCGGACTCAGCCGAAAACCCTCCAAACCAGAGCAGCTGCGATGTGTTTGTCTACCAGAGGTCTGCCGTGGTGCTCTTCCCAATTTTCTACTCTGTGGTTTTCATTATCAGTGCTTGCGGCAACAGCTTGGTCCTCTACGTGATCTGCCAGAGGAAGCAGAAGTTCAACTCCACCTCTGTCTATCTGGTCAACCTCGCGTTGTCCGACGCCCTGTTCACACTGGCGCTGCCTGGGCGAATTATTTACTACATCCGCCACTTTGACTGGCCCTTTGGTGACCTCCTCTGCAGACTGACAACGCTCCTCTTCTTTGCAAATACATATGCAGGTAATATTGGTTCTGTTGCCAATAAGGCTCCAGGAGTGTGTTTTTACACTTTGTAAACATATGCTACCACATCTCCATGTTCAGACTTTATTTTTCCACGTTTAACTTTATGTGAGAGAGACATAAGCATTTACATAGGAGAAAAAAAACAGTATACGATTAAGAGTTCATTCAAAATTTGCATCCAACCTTCATATACTTCCAAGTATATGAAGTGTAAAAAGTTTGTTGACCATTTCAATTATTAAAATGGGACCAGTATGGTGGAAACACCTTCTACATAGTCATGGATGCGCAGCCCATTTGGTCAACATTCATGATCTCTACTTTTGGTTATTATCTGTGGAATTATGTATTTCTTTTGCCATCCTGCCCTGCATGCGTTAAGCAGAAACTACATTGCGTATCCATCATATTTCCACCAGGTATTGGCTTCATGACCTGCATCAGTCTGGATCGATACCTGGCCATGGTGCATCCACACCGGCTGCAGTGTTTGCGAAGCGTGAGGGTGGTTCGCAGGGTCTCCTGCGTGGTCTGGGCCCTGGTCTCCCTGCAGGTGGCCCCCCTGCTGTTCCGCAGCATGCTGCGCGAGCACCAGGGGAGGCGAACCTGCATGGAGTACTTCAACTTTGAGGGCTCCCGCTTCACACCTTATCTCCTGCTCCTGGCCTGCGCCGTCTCCTTCTGCTGTCCGCTCGCCGTCATCGCCGGCTGCTACGCCAAGATCAACCTGAAGCTGCGAGCCGCGGCCAAGCAGAACTCAATGACCGGTCGATCAAGGAGGAATCACAGGGTCAACACCATCATTCTCCTCATCCTCCTCACTTTTATCGCGTGCTTCAGCCCTTACCACCTCAACGTCATGCAGTTTATGTCCAGAAAGATACACCATCAGGCAACGTGCGAGGAACTGAGGGCCTTTAAGGTGTCCTTACAGGTAGGACCGGTGCTCCTTTGTTTGATTGTCGAACCATACCCCGTCAATTTTTACTCCTTATGATATACCCTCTCCCTTGCAGATCACAGTTTCGCTCATGAACTTCAACTGCTGCTTGGACCCAGTCATCTACTTCTTTGCCATTAAGACCTACAAGAAGCGGGTGCTGAGCCTGTTCAAGGACTATCTGTATACTTCCGCCGCCTCCTCCAAAATGACAGCTGAGAACAGCAGCACAACACCTGAGAGAAACCACAGCTCAGCTTTACAGGAGATACACAACCAGTGTCACAGAGAAGACCTACATTAAGGCCTATTTTAGTCCCTCTGTCTGTGGAAATGACAAGTCTTTCACTTGAGCTATTGTGGCATGTTCATATGCAGTGGGTAAACATTAAAATGCAACATCAAATTTGCTAAAAATAACAAACAAAAGTGTTAATAACAATGATGTTTGGTTGATAACATTGTGTGATTTATTCTTCTACATCTATTATATTTCTGTTTTTACATTATATCGTATTGCTTTTCTTGTTAACATGCGTCTGTGATACAGTGTCATAAAGTAATGTAAAAATGAATTCTGCTTGAATCAGTGTAAGGGGGAGGAAACGTCCTCACTGTCCCAAATAAGCTTTTTTCTGTAACATTTTTTGTGGTCATTAATGCAGTACAACTTTCGCTTCCTTTTTGTAGAGAAACACATATGCGGACCAAGTCGTGTGTAAGTGGGTAGTTAGTTTATTATTGGACACCGAAGCTGCTAATAAATACATCTGTAATGTGTGCTCTGTTATTACTAAAAAACTTGTTTCCTATGGTCCCCATAGCTACATATAATGCAAGAAAGTTGGGTATGCCAAAATGAAACCATGTCACATATCTCTCTTTCATACCCACATCTGAGTTCTGTGTGGGAGTGCGTAGATGAGCATTGTCACCGCTTCCTCACCCACCTTTCCTGCTCCCCCTCACGGGCCTCATTCCAGCTGGGTTCCACATCTTGTGGTCGGGCTGCTGCTTGTGTGTGTGTCTGACAAATTTAAGCAGTTGCACTCTCTCTGTTTGTAACGCAGAGTGCCATATTTAAATTTAACCTTTAACATTTCCTGCGTATTTGGAAATGCTGCCCTGTGATTTTGCATAGAAAGTAATTCACGGCACAAATTGTGTCATGAAGGGGTTGTATTGGTTTGAATGATTACTGATGCGTTTCGATGTTATTGTACATGATGTATTTGTCAAGACACAGAATACACAAACAAGTATTATGACAAATTATATAAATTATTCTTATAGGGTCTCTGAAAGTCAGTTATTGTGTCGGTGCAACCCACGGCACCGGGGGTCTGATCCCAAGGGACCGACCGACTGCCCCTCCGGAACACCAATTTTACACAGGTTAGACAGGCCGTGGCAGAGACGCCATATACGGTAGCCCCGCCCTAAAGCATACTCTGCTTTATGGTCTATTTGACTCTAAATGGACCATCATTTACTAAATGAACATCATGCTGTATTGAAGAAGACTTGAAACTAGAGATTGAGACCATAAACTCATGTTTACAATGTTTACTGAGGAAATAAATCAAGAGAGAAGTAGAGTCATTTTCTCATAGACTTCTATATATTTCTCTTCAACAACCCAAGGAGTCGCAGATTAAACGGACATTGGCTTCACTTTTCAGAACCCGAGGTTGCTGCCTGATCTCAGTTGCTCTGACGCCATGAACATGTAGGCAACGATAACCTCACGAGAAAGGAGCGGCCATAGGTTTTAGAACCTAGGGCATGATGGGAATCATGTCGCCTGATCAAAGAGTTGATTGGCTCTTGGTTTTGACTCCAAATACTGTTTCGTAGGAAAACCCCTCTTTGAATTTGTAATATTTATCCTTAGATTATAGACCATTAGTCCGATGTTGTGCAATGAATGCTTAATAACGGAATAAAATATTCAGGTCCAGCCCTATGTGGTTGATGCACATCCTTTGCTGCTTGTTGGAATACGACATTTGCACTTACTAACACTGGATAGTGTCGGTTTGTGGCTTCTCAGCCTGTCATCCTCTGTCAACTCCTTTTTTTAAACTGTATTCTGTTATTAACTTTTAAGAGCAAAGCCAAACTCATGTAAGAAGCATGTCATTTCAAGGACAGCAAGTTTATTTCAAGTTGTTTGCATTGTAAATTGAGAGATGATTATGGTATTTTTATGTTTAAAGGGCAGTTGTCCCTTAATGTAAAAAGTACCATATGATGTTTGATATGTCAAACATTTTTTACAATGTTTTTTAAGTCAACATTAACTGCTGGTTGATGGGACAAGAAACTCTGACCTTTGCCGTCACAATCGAACAACAAAAAGTGAAGCCAATACTGAAGTGCCTAAACCCCCCGTGACCCTGAACAGGATAAGCGGTTAGAAAATGGTTGGTTGGATGGATGGACATTGTAAACATGAGTTTATGGTCTCAATCGCTTGTTTCATGCCTTCTTCAATACAGCATGATGTTCATTTAGTAAATAAAAGCAGGGTATGCCTTAGGGCGGGGCTACCTTGTGATTGGCAGGTTGCTACCATGGCGTTGTCCAGTCTGAGAGTTGCTGTGTTTCTGTCTTACAACTTTAATCCTTTCACAGTGTGTTTTCACTTCATGAAAGTTAATTAACATTTCTGTCGTTTAATAATGTCTTATTTAGAAGGAAAAAAAACAAGATGAGAGACAACCAAAATGACAATCATGTCATGGTGATGGCGTTGTGGTGGTGGGGCAGACCCAATGGTTCAAAGAAGAAACTTAAGTTCATATATGCGCGGGTTAAACTTTTATCTTTGTGCTTTATCTTAGTTGCTATATGTACATAGGATTTTAGACAAGTTAGAGAAAAAGGAGATATTGACATTTATTTCCCAATAACATGATGTATTAATATATCTTTAAAAAGGATTTGAAGAGTTATTTTAGTGTTTTTTGGTTTGGGGCCGTTACTTTTGCTGAGCTAACCAATAAGGCTAGTATTAGTATCAGATAAACACAGTGCTGTTGTTAACACACAACCAGACTGTTACAAGTACAGCTACATACAATACAATGTTCTGTCCTTTTGTTTCTCATAATTTTAATTTCATTCAAGATTCAATATTTCGGAGATTTTTGTGCATATTTAATATGGTTTCCATCAATATTTATTACCTTTTAGATGACAACCATGGACTTGCAGTGTATAGTATCTGTTTATATTCCACGTAGTTAACTGTAGTTAGTAAACAAGCTTTTGTCTGCAATGGTTATGAATTTATTTGAAGAGGAATCTGATGAAGCAGTAAACACATTGCTGCCATCCTGTGACGAAGTTACAGCACAACTCTAAGTATATTCTAAACAAGTGCAAATCTTTGACCTATTCTGTTCCTGTTGAACCCACTGTAAATGAGCGGAACCTCAACAGCTGCAGTACTCATTCCTAGCCAGAAGAGGACACTGTGAGTCTGAGAAGAGGCGCCTGGTTTTATGATATGTATTGTGCATAGGGGAGAAGAGTATAATTCTGAACATGTGATACTTTAAATGTACTCCAAATTCTACCATCCAAATGTATTGTTGGGGTCATTATTCAAAGTGGCATATGAGATGGTACAGACAACAAATGGCCTTCGATATTAGGCCACAACGTAATCATTACAACATGTCCTCTGCTGTAACAGAAGCTAGTTCCAACTAATCCTCAGTAAAAAGGTCACTGTAATCACATGACTTCTATAGAGCAGTTTCAGAGTTTTAGGACAGTGTTTTTTCATTTGTTTTGGGTCTGTACTCCAACACATTGGATTTTAAATGAAACTGTGACTTTGAGGTTAAAGTGCTGCCTTTAATTTTCAGTGTTGACATCTGTTTTGGGGGAACCCCCCTCAGCTCTTTTAACCCTTAAGGGGTTGGGCCACGTCAGGCCATCAATCAAGACCATCAGTGTCTGTCTGCACAGTTCATTAAATCAGCCATGAATATTGTTTTATTGTAAATCTAGTGTACCAGAGTGCAGAGCCAACACAACACAATGGTGTCACTGGCTGACACGTTCTGACCTTACAGCACACATTATGCATCATTTGGTCAGAATTTTGGTCCAAACCTAAATTATGCTGTTTGCTAGACTGAAACTGAAAATGAAAAACAGAAAGTGTTATTCTTTTGAAAAAGGTTATTAACTATAATTTGATGGTTGTAAAACTGTAGAAGTACTCTGTTAAACGTCTTAAAGATGTGTTGATATGTCTACCATAAAACCATAAAATGTATGTATCTTGTTTCAATAAATAAAACACTATTGCAACTTTCTAATCATCAAATGTCAAATAAAACCAGAGTGCTGTAAAATGTCAATAATTGGCGTTTTAATGTAAATTGTGTTGCCCAACCAATGCTTTTTTTCTTTTTTTCTGAACACCGCAGAGGTTTCCTGTAAACTGTTGCAATCTTATCTTAACCACGTGTTGAACAACAGGAGAGAAGCTCGCTATCACACTACAGACACTTTATTCATCACCATGAGAACGCAACTTTATACCATCTGCATGCTGTGAACGCATAAACTGCATTCATGAAACATGGTGTCCAAGATAATGCTACTTTAAAGGGCACTGTACATAATCCTAATGTTGTTGGTAAAGGAGTCTGCAATTGAATTGATCGGCTGAACGTCAAGAGCCACATATTGTCATCTTTGTACAGGGGTCGGCAACCTTTACTATCCAAAGAGCCATTTTGCCCGATTTGATATCACAGCTTATAAAGTTTTATATATAGTTATATTATATACAAAAACTATAGTTTGTTGTATTTATGAAATTATAGAACAAGAATAAAGACAATTCTTGACATTTTATGTCACGGGATTTCACGGATAGGACCCAAACGCAAGACCACAGGAGACAGAGTCCGATGTAACGGATTTTATTTTGAAGGTGTGTGAAGGTGTGGAGCCCGTGGTCCGACACCAGAGGGCAGGCGGATTGACGGTGTGAGTCCCGTGGCTCGACACCGGAGGGCTGGTAGCTCGACGGTGTGATGTCCCGTGGCTCGACACCTGAGGGTAGGCAGATCGACGGTGTGATGTCCCGTGGCTCGACACCGGA